GTACGATGGTTAGCGACCAAGAATGGGGGCCAATGTGACCACTCGCGCCCCCTCATTGTCCGTCCTTGAGCCATGATCGAGTCTCTGGTCCCTGTCGAACGGATGTGGCGAGCAAATGTATCCGTACATTTGAGGTACTGGCAATTTGAGCTGAAGTGGATGGACGCAAGGGAGAAGAAGTTACATTTTCCATGTCCACACCCTTCAGATGGAAACCGCGTAAACCCGACGATGCGGCGAAACGAGACGAGCGAGACTAAAGACGACAGCAACGACAACGAAGACGACGTCAACAATCACGGCGACGGCAACGTGTCAAAATCTGTGAGGATTTATGCACGTCGCTGCCTGACCACACCTGCTTTGCTTCGAGACGCGTCAGTCGTCTTTGGCCGTCAGTCACAGCCGGGCAGTGGTTGTCAAGTTGCCGGCACCGAGTGCACCTTGCTCTGAGACCTCCGAAAGCCCGGACGGGACAAGCAGTGACTTTGTGGTACAGTGTGGAATCCAGCATCTAGCACATGCTGCAATGGTGTCACAAACTGCCAGCCGGGCAGACCTGGCCATTTTGGAGAGACCGAACAAACAGGGAGACGGGGGCTTCGTTGAGTCAAGTGTACGGGTGGAAACCGACCTGAAGTAGCCCGAACGGCTCCAATTCATGAAAATCAGACGGGCAAGAGGAGTCATGGAAGACGTCTATCATTTACACCGGAGATTTCTACGGGCTGCCTACATCGTAGGCAGGACTGAATTACGCAGTCCGAAGAATCAGCATCCCGCAACCAGTTGTCATCAACATCTTCGCATGGAACACGATCGCATGCGCCACTATCGCTCGCCCCTAGGGACTCTCGCTCACCTTTTACGATATGGGACATGGCGAGAATGGCGTCCTGCTTTGGTGCCAAACGCCAACCGAAACGACCATCTGCTGCGATAACGGATTGGCTGTTGTGCAATACTGGCGGTCGGCGTCTGCATGGCGCCAGCAGGACCATCGTGTAACTCCGAGTGGCATGGCTACGATGTACTGACCCGTGTACCCGTGTGTCTACTGCGAAGACACATCAATCGTCTTCCACGGGACCTCGGCGGCATGCACGCTAGACGGGTGGACAGTGGAGAGATTCACCCGCAGCGGCCCAGGACAAGGCCGGGACGCGGAACGGCGCAGCGCATCGTAGCGAAGGGAGAGGGCCGCCTGCCAATTACCTGCTAGGGTCCATGCCGGATGGACGATTGACGGTTGCTCGACAGGCTTCCCGTTGCGCATTAACTCACTCCCACCATCCCATGGGCCGTAGGTAGACCGCCGCAGACGGTTTCGAGCCCAACGGCAGCTGCGGGCTGCGCCAGCTAACACCTTCTGGAGTCAGCATAGGTTGAAAACCTTGAACTTGGGACTGCCTGAGCTACTGGCTGATTTGCTGATGTACAGAGAGTACCGTGCAGCATGCCACATGTAGCTCAGCGAGGGACTCAGCTTGTTAGGTTGAACACGTCCACAATCCGATTCGTTCCCGTCTTGCTTTTCTCCAAGCACGAGCGTGACCGACCGCTACCGCCGATGGTCGCCGTGTTGTCTGCCACACAGAGGATGAGAGATGTGTGATTGCAGCGACGAGTGAGGTCACGAAGAGGTGAGCTGTCAAAGATGACGGTTGGTTGTGGTTGACCGAGGGATAGGTGTGACAGCGGCTCAAGAAAAAAAAACCCCAAAAAAACCTCACGGGTGAGGAGGGACTTCACGTATCTTCACAGTCCACACAGAGACAACAGCCTGCTGAGTGAGCGCACATTTACGAGGTGGTGGGGGAGGTATGGGGACCAGCAATCACGAAAATAACGAGGATGGCTGGTCTTGACAGATGGACATGGGATGGGCACGGCAGCAGACGCATTACGGTGGCAAAGCAGCGGTGAGCAGAAAATCTGACCTATTTCGTCGTGTTGTAAGCACCGAGAACTCGGTGTTCAATCGCCGGCATCGCCTTGGTCTTTGTTTGTTCCCTACCCTTCTGTCACCCTTTCCGTCTTCTCGTTCTCAATTGCCGGCTTCTTCAGCTCGCTCTGGATGGCAAAGAGAAACGAACTTGTCGACTTTCTTTTCTACCAACCGCAATTTTAGTTCGGGTGTGCATGGTGTAACTAACGAGCTCAGGAAGTCCTTCTGTCGTGCGATGCGGGAGTTTCGTTGTTGGTCTTGTCAACCCCAAAAGATGACCTGTCAGATCTGACAGGAAGGTCGTCGCAAGTCTCGTCTCGCAACGGCGGCGGCAGGTACAAGACCTCGGCAGAGACAGGACAGTCGAGGACGAAGTCGACAGCGGCATCGTCTGGCAGGTACCCTGCAGTGTCCAGGCCGAGTTCGCGCATGTATTCGTACGGATTGGACGATGATGTTTTGGCATCGGCGGCCGACGAATCTGGGGGTCCTGGGGGTTTTCTGATTCATTCCTACCCTACCTTACACCAGAAATGCGGGCGGAAGCGAACCAGCGCCATCTCAACATGGAACCGAAACGGCAAAAAGAAAGCATAGATGAGAGATCTGAGGATGTGCCGTCATCTGACCGCCTAAGTATGTATGAATACTGCGTGGTAGACGCAGGCGCAGGCGCAGACGCAGACGCAGACGCGGAGATGCAGAGGCGGTGTTTCTTCTTCTTCTTCCTCCTCCTTCTCTTCTTCTCCTCGCCCGCCGCCAGCGCCTACACACACACACACACACACACACACACACACACACCCCATCAATCCAGGAATGATCCAACATATTCTTCTTCCTTCTGCCCGCCTATCCCATCCGCACATCGCCGAAAAGCCTCTCGCCTCGCCCCTCTTCTTACCCCCCAGTTAGGTGTCCGTGGCTGCCGATACGGATACCCTGCCTGCAGCAGCGAGATGCAGGCCACAGAAAAATTGGCCCTCTTGACGCTGTCACAACCGACCATTTGATGCGGTGATGATGCATCATCACGGTAGACAGATATGTACACGACGGTATCTGTACTTTGGCCGCCCTTCACCCTCACCCCAGCTCAGGCCCGGCCCAGCCCAGCCCCCAGGCAGTCGGGCGTCGTCGTTATTCCCACCGTTCTTCGTTTCTTCGTCCACGTCGCCCGTCACCAATCCCGTACGGAGCAGGATCACACCTTACCACACCCCGCCCGACTCGGACCTCACAGGCCCGGGCCTTTGCGCTTCTTCCTTGGGAAATGCGGCCTTGTTCGGGCCACCTGCATGGTTGGTAGGCAGGTAGAGTTACACCCAAGGAAGGGAACGGTTTGGGCCAGTCAGGTGCCGCGACGGATGCACTTCTTGTGCTACACTACTTTCTACTCCAACAAACCTGGCCGCTTGGGCCCGTCACCGCCCGCATGGTGCTGCAGTCACAAGCGGCGGACCGATGCGGCCTGCAGCAGGATCGGCGTCGATCCGCTTTGGATTTTTTTTTTTTTTTTCTTTTTTCCCCCTCTACCGTTCCCCCTCCCAACCACCACAGCAATCCTGCTGTCCAACGGCAGCAGTTACTTGTCTGTTCCAAGTCCGGCGACCCGTAAGCCCCGGTCACACCGTCTGGGCCGCGCCCGTCCCCTCCGGCTGTTGTGTCCCCGCTTCTTCGTCTCCCCTCCCTGCCCCGTTGCGTCGAGGTATTTACTTGCTTCTTCCATTCCTTCTCCTTCTTGGACCTTCCGTGCGGCTGTTGTCCTCGAACAAGCCGATGGTGCTACTCACATATCACTCATCTGTCATGAAACCTCAACCATCTACACTCCTCGAGGGGCCCGCCGGCCGTACGTGTGTGTATATGTGTGTGTGTGTGACTCGCTCCGTGCAGCTCGCCTGCAGTGTATACTTTCATCATGTTTCTCCGGGTGTATAATACGTGTATAATGCGTGTATATCAGGAGTGAGGTGTCAGATTCCTGTCGTCCGACCTGTCACGCCTGCAGTGGGTTCTCTCGGGCTATTAAACCTGATTTTGGGCTCCCCCGGGTGCGTCCTTTGCATTCCGCCCGGGGCGCGATTTCGGTCGCAGTATCTACAGAGTAACTCAGACAACACAGCGGCGCACACACGGAGCATTCCCAGGGTCCTCCCATCGCATCGTTGGCGTCAGGACAAGAACGTACAACGAACGCACCTCTCCGCGGGCGGGAAGATCCAGTCCTAGTCCTGCCTTGCTCAAGGTTCCACACCCCCGACTCGACGTCGTCCTGTCAGACCCCCGTACGGCGGCAGCGGCGGCGGCGGGGAAGGGGGCCACGGGGATAGATCTCACCTCGCCTCGGAATTCCGGGACTCGGTTGATGGAGATGTGGTTCTCCCTGTCCAAACAGAAACCTTCTGGCAGAAAACAAACATCGCTACGTAACATTTCCTATTCAGCTCCGGGAAGAGAAGAGGTACGATCTTGATCTTGTCTTCCCCATTCTTTGTCTAAGACAAATCTATTCACGTGACTCCAAGTCCCTTCGTGCCCCTCTCTGTCTCTCTCTCCACTTTTAGGACCCCGCGTCGATTCGGCGGACCAGTGGTGGTGCTCCCGGGGGCGGCGGCGTTTTCCATTACAGTAGTGGGACTCGAGAAACGCCATGTCCTCCTCCGGGCGGACAATTTTGTCGACAAGTGACCGAAAACTCTCCGCAGATGTTTTTGATAAAAAGAGAAGAAAAAAAAAGCAATCTTGGATTTTTGATGCAAAGAAATACGAGATAAACCATAATACTACCAGCGACAGAAGACCCACTATCTTCTGCCGGCAGGTGTGTGACTTTTTCAGCCAAAATAATTGCTTCTTCAAAACATCAAAGCTAAAAAAAAAAAAAGGCGGGGAAAAAAGGAAGCATCTCCGGGAAAAAAAGAGGAGGTTTGGCGAGAGACTCGGGGAAATCGCACAACCAACCAAACAACCGCCATCAAACTCACTACCGAGCTACTTATCTACAGAACGAAAGAATTTGCTGCGAGCTCAGCCAGCTCCGAACATCGTCATGACGGACGCCGATACCGTCAGCGCCAACAAGGCACACTTTGAGTGCGTATATCCAAACACCTTGAATCCAAAAACATCATGACGAGCCCCATTCCGCGGTTGATATCTGGTCTACCTGACCCTCCCCTTTCCCAAAAAAGTGACATCCGCTCAGCCCACTCCCTCAACCGCCCCCCCTTTTCCCGTTCGGGTTCCTGCAGATATACACACCCTTCAATTTCAACGGGGAGAGAGGGAGTGGGAGACGGATGATTGCATGGTTTGTTACACGGAAGAGGCTGGCTAGCTGGCGGCTGTTGTGCCCTTTGATCTTGCCAAATCTCGGCAAGAAACGAAAACGGCCTGATATACACTTTCCTTTCTCTCTTTCTCTCCAAAAGGCTGCCTTATCATATTCCCATTCTTTAAAAACTGACGTGACTTGGAAACAAACAGCAAACTCGCCGCCGAGTACGACGCCAAATATGAAAAGACCAGTCTCCAGCTGGAGCGGGAGATCCGGAACCGCAAGGACTTCATCGGTGTAGATTGGGCGGACGACGACGACGATGATGATGACGATGACAACGACAACGACGACACCGCCGAAACGGCTCCGGCTACCGACAGCAAGTCGGTGAGACTTCTCGACTACGCCTGTGGCACCGGCCTGATATCAAGGGTGAGTTCGGGATTCACCGATTTCCATTTCTCTCTGTCCGTTTAATCGAGTCTCGGCTCGGCATGGGGCGATCTGTTTGTTTGGCTTTCTCTTTGCGAGGAAAAGTATGCGTTGTTCGTCGTTCGTCGTTTCGGTTTTCCCCTCGTACGACCGCTCGGCCGACGTCGTTTCCCGCGTAACGACAAACAAACACTCACTCACTTACACCGAGAAGACGAAACTCGAATCCCACCCACCCCAGCAAACCAAAGAAAGACCGATTGAGTAACTAACAACGCAACTTAGGCTCTCATTCAGTACACGACGCACTGCGTCGGCATCGACATCTCGGAGAACATGGTGGCGGCTTACAACGCCCGGGCCGAGAACCAAGTAAGTTGAGAAACCTCTTGAAACGCTCCCTTCTTTTGTTGCTGTTGTCCATGGACACAATACACACATGCGTACGCGCAACATTACACATTCCCCCATCTCGCCCGGAACGGGAACGACAAAGTGGCTGTTCTGTCTAATTCGGCTTGACACATCTCCCCAACCGGTGAAAGGCGGCAGCGGCAGCGGCAGCAACTGCAGTTTCGGTACCGGCGGTTTCCCGTGGTGACACGAATCTGGTTTGTTGGCACGCAGGCACGCGCGCGCGACGTCTCTACCTTGGATGGATGGATGGTTGCCTCGAGAGCACAGACGACACTCTGGCCCGGTCTCTGAGAAGAATTCGCTCGATCTCTCTCACCCTGCGTCTCATCTCAGCCCTGCTGACCCCCATGACGTGGACGCGGACGGGGTGTGTGAGTGCGTGTGTGTGTGTGTACTTCGAAGTGTGTGTGTGTGCGTGTTGGGCGCTGTGGCACTGCTTTGACACAGCAAGCCGCGCAACGACGCACACACACCCGACGGGACCGACGGACGGACGACGAGTCATCGACTCACACCCCTTCCCACCCCTCTTCTGTTCCCATCCCTTCCTTTGCCTTCCTCGGTCTCCTGCCGCCCCAGATTATCATCTCATCCCATCATCCCAGGACGGGGGGCGGGAATGCACGAAATAAAACGTCGACCAGGCAAAACTCTCTCACGTTCCGGGAATTTACCTTTTTTTTGCAAGGAAGAAGGAAGCCAGCTGACCTGACACCGCCTGAACAGGGTCTCAGCGCCGACGAGATGCGCGCGTACCAGGGCAACCTCACGGACCCGGCCGACCCGGATCCGGCGGCTTTCTCGGGCGCCCGGTTCCGCGACTTCGACGTCGCCGGCGTGGGGCTCGGGTTCCACCACTTCGCGGACCCGGAGCTGTCGGCGAAGAGGCTGGTCGAGAGGCTGAGGCCCGGCGGGGTATTCGTCATTCTCGATTTCTTGCCGCACGAAAAGATGGACAACGGGCTGCCGGCCGCGAGTACGGTGATGCACCACGGGTTCTCGGAGGAGAGGATGCGTGCGATTTTCGAGCAAGCCGGAGCAGGTAAGGATTTTGCGATGGAAGAGCTCGGGAGCGGGGTTGTCTTTGGGGGCCATGGTCACGGCCACGGTGATAGTCATGGGGGTGGGCATGGTCACGATCATGGCCATAGGGATGGACATAGCCATGGTCACGGTCATGCTGGGTCGAAGGAGGGCATGAAGAGACGTGTCTTCCTGGCGAGAGGCACGAAAGCATAGAAAAGGGGGATGTCATGCTCGTGAAAGCTGGCCCAGTTGGCCGGCATCTAGTTTATAACGAAGTAAACAGAATGAATAACATGCTAACCTGCCCACATGATTACTCTACTGCTGCGCCTGTTGTTCCTTCTCGATGATATCGACAGCGAACGCACCACCCAACAGGATGGCGGGCTCGTCAATGTTGTGATGTTCGTAGCTGTTATGATTCCGTTAGTGACTTTCGCCTTGGTTGTGTAAAGACCGAATGCGGGAGAAATCCTTGCTCACCTCAAGGTGCCGACACCACCGGCCTCGAGCAGAAACGCCGGGCCGTCCTGGAGGCTCTTGCCAGCCCAGCGCATGGCGAAGGCGCGAAGGATGTGGCCGTGGGCAACGACGAGGACGTCTCCCTTTTCGGCCTCCTTGTTGCCGATGACGGGAGAGTGCCACCTGTCGCGGATGTCCTTGATTAGACGGTCCAGACGTTCCGTGACGTCTCGAGGGCTCCTTGAAGGCACGAGTGATTAGCTGATGCTCTCATACCTTCTGCAAACTCCTGAGCGTCTTCTACGGATAGGCTTCCGAGCTCATGGAATCAAGATGATGTGCAGCACAGGAGTCGGTACTTACTCGCCGCCGGGACAGCCATCGCGCCAAATATCCCAGTTTTCCGACAGACCCTGCTCCTTTCGGATGCGGCGGATCTCAGGACTCGTGATGCCTTCGTAGTCACCGTAGTCCCACTCGCGGATGTCCTCGGTGACCTCGACACAGGCGTTGCACTGGGGACCGCCGCCCTCGACCTGACCGTGATTCTTCCAAGGAAGCTCCTCGGTGAGGCCGAAGTTGAGGAGCTCAAAGGTGCGTTGAGCACGCTTGCGAGGGGAGACGTAGCTGAGAGGATTGTTAGCGGATGCACTGGAATAGGATGCGCGCAGGATGAAGCATGGCGAAGAAATACGAACACGTGAGAGATCTTCTTGGGCACGATGAGACGGTCGTTTCCAACCAGGGCCCGGCCGGTGGCCCGGACACGCTTCTCGCCGTTCGCCGTCAACGGGATATCGGTAGAGCCGGTGTGGCGGCCGTTGAGGGACCACTCCGTCTCGCCGTGGCGGATGACGAAGGCGCGTGGGGTCGTCATTGCGGCGGTGCTTCAGAGCCTCAACCGGATCTTACACGTAAGTATCGATGAGGCGTTGACAGCGGATGCAACGTCGGATGAGATGGATGGTGGGCGATGATTGACTGGTGGTGTGGAGGGAGTTTATGCGATCTCTACCACCCTCTCTTGGCTGATGGAGGGGCACAAGGATATCGAATTAGTTTTGACGGCCGGTTTTGTAACAGAGATCTTTGACGTTCCGCGCATGACAGAGGATGAATATCGGGCAAGTGTGCGGGACACGTAAAAGAACAGACGATGAGGACCGAGTGACGCTTCCATTGACGGTTTGGCTTTCCAGCCGTTCCCGCGTTCCCGCCTTCCGCGAATCTTCAGCTCAACTCCGCACAGAAGAAGCGGGATCTCTGGGAAAGAGCGCACTTCATTGCTTTGACATGGGGGGGACCGTAAGGTTCGGCATGCATTCCTGCGAGCGCCAACTCAGAATGATTGGAAGCGATGGTCCTAGCCCATCATCCCGCCATCCCGCGATATCAGCCAAGACTCGATTGCGGGGGAGGCGGTGCCCTCTGAACTCTTGTCATGTCGCCCTTCCCGCACATGTTTCTCTGATTTTTCCTTGGGAGGACTCGAACCCGACGAGAACAAGCATTCTGTCCCGCGGAGGTCCTCGTCACCCCTCCCTTGTATCCTGTCACTCATTGTTCCGAGAACGAGACAGATCCGCAACTCCATTCTTTTTTTTCGCGTGCACTTGCCGCATCTTGCGTCCCATCGTAAATCATCACCTGGCTCTCTGACAGACGTCTGGCTTCATGCGGGCCTGAGAAAGGCGGGCAAGCAAGGGTAGAGAGAGAGCAAGTGATTGAAAGAGGAATCCTCCGGTGCGTCCCATGAAGACAGATTCGTTTCAGCCGGGGTTGCGACGGACCAGGGGGCCGCTTGACCCCCATGCACCAGATCAGACAACATGGGCTGGACTTTCGATAAGAGTGGGAAAACGGGGGCTAACTGCTTCTCGCTTGACGGCGCCTAGTGCCGAAAGAGAAGCAGGGGAAGAATAGTCGTGCTCGACGGAGAAGAAGGCGCAAGGGAAAGGATGAAGGATGCAGAGAAAGTATGATAGTTGAGGAGAGGAGGGGAAGGGGTGTGAGGGGCCTGGAAGATGCTCTCACGAACTTTGTTTCAAGCACCAGAACTGTGAAAGTGGGCAATGGATAAGCACCGAATTAAGATGGGAAAAAAAAAACACACCTGGATCCCTTATCTCTCGTCCGCTCGGTCGCTTTTTCTCGGGTGTTGCAAGCGAAGAGAGAAGTAAAAACCTTGGGCAACCTGAAGTTTGAGATACATACAATATATTAGATCAACCTCTTTTTATCTTTGCCCACCCTGCGACCTTTTAATTCTCTCTCCCTCTCTCTCCAAGAGCATCAGTCATGACCGACGTCACGCCAACCGCAGGTCGATTACTAAGAACGCCGAGGCGTCCAGAACCGAAGAATCTTGGTCTTCAGCGGGGCCCTGTTAGTGTTCCCGCTTCCGGCCGCTGCTCCCACGGCGCTGCCACTGCCGCCGTCCACGCCCTCCATTGCTGCTCCAGCTCGACACCGGCCCCTGAGGCGATCGCGCCAATCTCGCTGGAGCTCGAAGCTTGGCCCTCGGAGCCATCGACGCCGTCTACCTCGACCACAAGCTCCGAGTGCGATTCGACCAGCCCGACGTCGATCCCGTCCCTGAGGCAAAGGTTTTCCTACTCCCCGCTGGGCAGACTACGAGGCCACACGCGAGCAAACTCTCTCGACTCGACGACGACGGACGCCTCGATCGCTTCTTCGTCGTCGATATCCTCGACGCGGTCGCGTTGGAACATTTTCGCTCCGGTGCTGGACGAATTGACGGCCTCAAACCACCGTTCCGACTACGCCAGCGACAAGAAGAGCAGGCAAGCTAGGGAAGTTTGGCGAGAGTACTGGTGAAATCCAGATCCGATCAAGTCAGGAAAGGAAAATCAAAGAAGCACACGAGAATGAGCGGGTTCACAAAGTTTCGCGCCGGTCTCACCGCAGCCGGCTGCGCCGCCATCATCTTCACGGGCGCAACGTACGGCGCCGGGCTCAAGACGCAAGAAGAATGGAAGGAGGTAGGCAGAGGCCCCAATCCCCATGCCAGTCGCCTCTGAAGCTGACTTGTCGCCCCTCAGGAACGCAAACAGTTCCACGGATCTCCATACGACGAGCAGATTGGCCTCCTCGAGGGTCAAAGAGGCCGGCTCCTCTCAGAGAGACGCAACTACGAAAGGAAATTGATGGCTCTGGAGGAGAGGATACGCGAAAGAGAAGCGAAGAAGCCAGAGAGCTGATCAAGACCCAGGGAGAGGCCAGGTCTAGCCTAGCACAGCCTTCTACTCTGGAGAGATCCGAGAAAGAAGCCGAGCAAAATTTTCATCACACGATGTTGCGACCAAGATGATCGATCATTCGACAGAACTTGGAGGAAGTGGCATACAAGAGATGTCGCCAGCTCGGAAGTGGGATAGAAACATCCACAACCATATAGACACGGCCGGTCGACGCAGTAATGCCGATGTATGAGGCGGGGATCGTCATGGAATCACGCCGATGTAACAGTAATTGTAGCAAAAAGTTCAAGCAATCACCAAACACCAACAGATATAGCGTAATGAATCTTGGCCATTACATTCATCAACCTGTCTATCTATGCCCTAATTCATGTTCCTGCGTCATTGGTTCGTTTTGTATGCCATCCATAACCTCGTTCCCGCTCGTAAACGCCAAGGCCGATGCTCTCTGCAGCTACCTAAAGACCTACTCGGCCTTCTCAACCGTGGGCAAAGGAATGGCTCTGTAGAGGAGAATCAAGGCAGAGTGGGACTCACCACCGCCGGCGAGAGCATCAATCTTGTCCGAAGTGACTTCCGAAACCTTGTCGTCGTTGAACCACCACCAATTGCCATCCTCCTCGCCCTTTTGGCCCGTCTTGGGGTCGATAGGTGCAGTCTTCTTCACGTACGCAGTGTAATGACCGCTGTCGGCGCTGGCACCCTGGTGAGTGACGACACCGCGCAGCTCGTAGATTCCTGACTGGTTGGCGCCCTCGTCCTTGGCCAAGTCCTCGTTGACCAGGGCGTAGAGCTCCTTCTTGGCAGCAAGAAGAGCGGCGTCTTTCTCGGCTTCGACCTCAGCATCGGTCTTGAAGGTCTCGGCCATCTCGACGTCGCCGTCGGAGGTGGTGGCAACGGGCTTTCCGGCTCTCTCGGCCTTCTTCTCGTTGGCCTTCTCCAGAGCTGTCTTTTCCTCCTTGCTCGGGGCTCCAGATGCTCCGGCGATGTCACCTCGGTCGTTGGGGTTGATCTTGCGCCTCTTACGGGCACGTTCAATATCCTCCTCATCCTTGCGAATCTCGCGAACCTTGTCGCGAACGGGGATGAGAGACTTCTTCAGCTCGTCGGTGCAGAACTCAACAACGTCAAGCTCGTGCGGGAACGTAACCTTACGCATGATCTTGGCCTTCTTCTGCACCTCGCGCTTCCAGAAGAAACGTACGAAGTGGACAGTAAGGTACTTGGGCAGCCGCGAGATCTGAGACTTCTTGGTGTACGTGGTATCTCTGTCCAATACTGACGACTTCTTCTCCAGCTTCTCTGTCAATGCCGCCAAGAGACCGTCTCGCAAGTGGTTGATGTTTTGATCAATGTGGCAGTTGAGCTTAAGGAAGGGTTCGCTGGACTTGATTGGCTCTTCACCAGCATCTCTGGCGGCTTGCTCGTCGACCTCGAGTGTCGACTGGAGCTCTCCAGCCATGTATCTGTCGATAAAGGAGGTGTCTTCCGACTCGGAGAGCTTCTGCTTCAACTGGATGAGGATTTGAGACCAGGCCTCCTCAGCGTCCTGCTGAGCGTATCCGTTGCCGGTCTTGGACTTCTCCGCGAATTGAGGGTAGACCATGCGCAGCGTGCTCAGGAAGGTGAGCGGGGGAATACTGCCTTGGGTCTCCGACATGTTCTTGTAGAGGTCCGTAAGCTGGGTGGCAAGGTCGGTTGATCCCAGACCAAAACTGCTGCTGCCGCCGCCACTGCCAGACTTGTGTGTGGTCAAAGCTGTTTGGAGTTCGGGGATCGATCGAAGGGTCTGAAGGGTCGAGTTGAGGTAGCAGGTGTTGCCCAGGTTCGTGAGACCGGCGGGGGTAGCTCCCTCTTGCTGGGCAGCTTCGGCTTCGGTCATGTCCTCGACGAACTTGATCGCCTCTTTGGGGCGGGCGAGGTCTGCGTTCTCTCCGGAGGGCTTGCCCATCATCATGAGCGTCGCGCCGGCCTTGAGGCCGAACTTGGCCATGTCGTCTTCATCTTTGACTTGCTTTCCCTTCACGAGGATCTTCTGTCGCTCGGGTTCGACACCGGTCAAGCTGTAAAGCTGGTACTTGAAAGTCTCGCCGTTGGAGGAGGTGTCGACCTCGACTTGGTACTTCGTGCCTGCGTGGCTAACGGTGACTGAAGACCAATTTAGTAAGCAATCATGGTGCTCGTAGCTTGTTGATGTGCTCACCTGGTATTGAAGACATTGTTGCAATGCTCGTGAACTCGATGAGAAGAAAGGAGCGATGCTTGTGTTGTCTCTGGAGCGAAGGTCCAACTGCGGAATGTACAGGTGCAGAAGAAGTTTGTTGGAGGCACCAGGAGGTTTGCGTCAGTACGGGTACCTGGAGTGGGCGGGCAGTAAGGTAGTACAAAGCAGCCAACGGAAAATAGGCGGGGAAGCGGTGTACCTGCAGGGTCCGTTTCAGCTGCCGATTCGTTTATTGAGATAAGACGTGAGAGATGCTTCTATCGCCTCTGTAAGGTATCCCCCACATTCGATCATCTTCCAATGTCTTCGCAAGTCAATAGCTTTCATATCCATTATCAGCTTCCTTGAGAGCCCACAGTAGCATGTATTGTCGATTGTTTAGCTTGAATTTCTTTGATATAAGGTAATCCCGTATGATGTTCAGTGAATTAACCTGATGCTGGGAAAAACATACTTATCGGGGAGATGCAACTAAGAAGCACAAGCGGGGGATCGCCCCTACCTAGCTAGGCTCCTTCCTTATCAAGTCACGTGGAAGAGCTTCCAGATGACTCAGCAAGCCACGGTGACAGCTACGCACGAGGTGGAGCTCTGCGGCGGTGCTTCCCGCCCCACTACGAAACGTCAGGCTTCCGGCTGAGCCAACCTCACGAACCCCGCGGTCAACATCCAACTCCAACCTCTCAGCATCACCAAGGTTGGACGCGGCCAGGTTTTGCCATCATGGTGAGAATACACGAAGAATTGCTTCATCATTTCTTATGCTGACACAGCGGCACAGTCTCAATCTCTGCGACCCTACCTCCAGGCCGTCCGGAGCAGTCTGACGGCTGCCCTGACGCTCTCCAACTTCGCTTCCCAAACCGCCGAGCGTCACAATGTCCCCGAGATCGAGGCGCAGACCTCCCCCGAGGTCCTCCTAACCCCTCTCACGATTGCACGTAACGAGAACGAGCGCGTCCTGATCGAACCGAGCATCAATTCCGTGCGGATATCCATCAAGATCAAGCAGGCCGACGAAATCGAGCATATTCTGGTCCACAAGTTCACCCGTTTCTTGACGCAGAGAGCCGAATCGTTCTTTATTCTGAGGAGAAAGCCTATCAAGGTATGCAAGAGCTGCGGCTGCCATTCGTTCAATCTTTCCAGGAGATCAACGCCACGTGGCACACCGACCCCTTTTACGGAGCATGGGATACTGATACCAGTCCTCAGGGATACGACATTTCCTTCCTGATTACCAACTTCCACACCGAGGAGATGCTGAAGCACAAGCTGGTCGACTTCATTATTCAGTTCATGGAGGAGGTTGATAAGGAGATTTCGGAGATGAAGCTCTTCGTGAGTAGCCAATGGAACTGCGGTTTCCCAGAAGCAAGGAACATGCCATTGACACGACTCCAGTTGAACGCGAGAGCCAGATTCGTGGCTGAATCCTTCCTCACTCCCGTAAGCCGAGTTCTTTGCAGCTTCCTCTTGACGTCATTAACCAAAACCACTCTAGTTCGATTAAAATACCCATCAGCAAGCGTAAGACAAGCCGGGAGATACAGGCGGGGAACAAAATATTACTACTCCCGACAGCTTGACCGACCCAAAGTACTGGCCACATTGAAAGCTTCCGAGCAAGGATCATGAGTTGGAGTTTGATGTTGGCTCGAGCGCAGCCGGAATGCCGGTATCCACATTGGGCCCGACCTCGATGGTGGTCCGCAAATCCGGGGCCGAGTGGGAACGGTGATATGAACCTCATACTTGATACAATTGATACAAAATTCCAGATATGATCATGACTCTCGACTCTCAAACCAACTCAGCAAGTTCATCGATGTTCTCCATTATCTGCAGTCTCTGTTCAACCTGTCTGAGCCCGCCATTGGGGGCAATTACCTTGGCGGTGCGTTGCAGTGATATCAACGGTCGCCGAGGCAAATCGAGTACTGGACGAGTAGTACCCTTGATTTTCCGGGACCATTTCATTAAGGAATAGCTGTATTGTTGTCGGTTGCAACGATGTCTCCTACTTGCGCATCGTATCCCTAGAGAGAGGAATGGCATCCAATTGCAACCCAATCCCCATGATGAACACGCAACTTCCAAAACTTCAAGATACACACTTTTGTTAGAACGGCTTGATACTTTAGTACCCTGGCCTGGTAAACATGGTGGGATCCTTATGATGTGCACAGTGGGCCCCTCCTTGGGAACAAAAGCTTTGTTTGCAACCTAGCTGCCTGACGCCAAAGGTCTACATGTGTGATCAAAGCCTTGATACCGGGGAAGATTGTGTGTCTTTCAGACCTAGGCTTAAAAATGCTCAGCGCTGGGGTTTTTTTTTTTCTGTTTCTCTTTAATTGGCAGTATTTTCATGCTACAGACCTAGCTACTGCAAAACCATTGGTGAATGGGTCCAGCATTTGCGCTCCTTCCTCATCGCAGTCTTTTTCCCTTCCCAACTTGACCCCATAAATATTGTGTGCGGTGCCTCAGACAATAATTCGACCTTGTACTTTTCGCCTTACTTTGCTGTTTACAACTTTTTGTCCGCTTTGATTATACCCACAACCTCTCCCCCTTCACCCTCCACAACCAGACCTGGGGACGATCCTGTACTTCCTCCAACCCTCGATCACGACCCTTCTTCTCACCCAAGCCGAAGTACAGTCGCAGCTCACTGATCACATATCTGCTACGGTTGAGTTTCTGGTAAGGTCCCCATTTTATTTTCTCGCTCTTCTTTTTGGCCCTCGAACGCTCTTGCCATCTTCAGCTGGGGCCGGGGGAGCAGCTCTTTTAGTGCAATTCTTTTTCGTTGCCGACCTCTTCCCCTCGACCACCTCACCCCCTTCCTCGCCTGTGGTCTTTTCTTCCACCCGGAAAAAAAAAACACCAGCTTTGCCGGCTGGCTTCTCCCCTCGGCCAATCTTTTCATTACCCTACCTATCTCACCTCAGCTTTCACCTTTTTCAACCCAAACAAAACACCCATACTCACCTGTACCAGAATTGGTGAGTACGCTCTTGTCGACTTTTCTTGTTGCCAGTTTCATCTTCGAGAGAGTCGCCAGGAAAAATCAGCTCCTTCTCAAAGTGGAAGGCAGGTCACATTCTCCCATCTCTCCCGTCTTCTCTTCTCCATCTTACCCACCCACTCACCCTTCTTCATCCTCACACAACACTGAATTCTCCTTTCTTCACCCCACCACTCTTCGTTTTTGACAGCTCATTGCTAACATTCAAAAAGGTTGACCAACCAGCCTTCGCCTCTGCTGTCATTGTACGCGCCTTGTCGCAACATCGCCTTGTGCGTCCGTCTCATCTGTAAGATATTTCATCCGCGCGCCATTCCCATCATCAGAGAATCTGCAACCAAGAGCAGAGAAAAGCACACAAGCCAAGCAGAAACGCAGAGGAAGCTCAAGGCAGTTACCTGCATTGCTCTCGCTGTTTTCGCTCGCCAGCTCTCGCCCTTTTTGCACTTGGTTGAGCAGCTCTCGCCTTTTTACTCACCCAGCCCCCGCCTGTTTTATTTTTTGCACCTGCCTTTTTGCATCTTTTCCCTTTCTTTTGTACCTCCTTCTCCATACTTCTTCACTTTTCTAATCTTGTCACTAATCTCACTCACACAGAACATCTACTGTCCTCCCAAACTCTCAGGTGCACTACTATTCATCATCAGTCCGTTTGCTCTCATCTGTCATCCTTATTCATGAAAAAACACCATCATTGGTTTATGTCACAATGGCTCATCCCAAGTATGCTGGCATGAATGGCAAGAAGGACCAGATGAAGATGCGGAAGCAGCACCAGCAGAAGAAGCTGCATCACATGACCCATCAGGGCTCAGTCAACATCAGTGACTTGCCTCAGACCGTCTCTGAGGAGGCTGACTATGACAATGAGCCTGGTGGTGTTCGTCTCAATGGTGCCCTCTTTGTCACCAACTCAGACCAGATTCAGAACAGGGCTCCTTCTCATTTGAACCCTACTTCCTCCCCTTGGCACCCCAAGAGCAACGGAATCCATAAGGTATGTCGAATCCTGGCTTCGAAAGTAGCCCTCGAAAGAGACCTCGACTGAATATAATTTTCTTAGGTCCAAGAGCCGATTCCTCAGACTCAGTCATTGCCCGACATGGATGACACTGTTTCCACCGCCGATACGGCCTCTGACAGCCAAGGCAACCCCGAGATCGCCAGCCAGGTCTCCTCTCCCACTCTTGCCAATTTGCCCACCCAGGGTGTGTATGACAAGGGTAGCATCATGTCTGGTCTGCAGTTCGTGACTGGCCACTGGGCGGCTCCCCAGCAGAGTCTCGCGGCCATGAACGCCAACAACGGGTCTCAGCTCACTGGCAGCGCCTCGATGGGCACTCTGCCCTACCAGACTCCTGTTCGCGAGAACGACGGTAGCGAACTTCAGGGCTCTCAGGGCTCCATCGGCACGGTCTTCCACGCGGGCGTCCCCAGCCCTGGTGATAGCGACACTCCGAAGGCATCCAACCCCGGCATGATGACCGAGCCTCGCAACTTTGCTCCTCGCGCCACTGGTAACCTTGCCCACTTGGGAGCTCCTCCTAAGTTCGACTTGAACAGCATCGTCAACGACAATTCGACTCCTGCCGCCTCTCAGGATCCTTTCGTCACGCAAGCTTCCCAGGGCGGTCCAGTCCAGCCTTTGTTCGGCTCGCAGATGAACACGACCCAGATGCTTATGACGGGTCAATTGCCTTTCGGCCCTGCAACTGGCGAGACTCTCCATTTCGACCAGCTCCCTCGCGATAACGAGTTCGGTAGTGCCACAGGGGGCAACACCCAGTCGTTTGCCGTCAACAATGGAGGTTCCTCCCAGAATGTCCAGGGTATGGCCATGCAGAAGAGTGCTGGCAACGCCGCCGGAGCTCTTGCTGTCCACCAGGGAGCTATCCAGTCTTACACCAATCAGGGAGATGTAACTCCCTACCAGGCTGGCTACCCGTCTCAGCATTCCATGACTCCGGTCGCCGTTGCGCCGTACATTGCTCCCGCTCCCGACTACGTCCGAGCCCAGCGCTCTCACGAGCTGAACCGCTTGACGGCTACCACGAGTGGCCTTCCTACCGCCGAAACGGCTATGCATCACAGCAACTTCCCTTTCATCGAGCCTGCCAGCCGCCCGGGCAACTTCACCGTCCGAGGTGTCGTCAAGATTGGTAACGTAAGTTGGCTCTGACTATCCTCATCACCATTGTGAACGAAAACTTACTCGTGAATAGATCCCCTTTGTCACCAATCGCTCCGAGATCATCGCCGTCCTCGGGCGCAACTCTCGCATCCTCAACGATACCGAGGAGCCTGTTCACATCATCATGGAGCGTGTCACTGGCAAGACTACCGATGCTTACGTCGAGTTCCAGACTCTGGAGGATGCCGCCAAGGCTGTTGAAAAGCACCAGCAGAACATTGGCCGTGGCAGAGTCACCCGCATTGGTCAGCGCCCCGTGGAGATTGAGCTCTCCAGCCAGGCTGCTCTCATGAAGGACTTGTTCCCTTCCGCTCGTGGTGTCTTCTGGAACGGAACCAACCCTCAGGTGCTCGCCAACAACGCTAATGAGCCTTGGGACAACTTCAAGGGCTTCGTCTCCAACGAGGAGATGACCATGCTTGTCAAGCACGTCGAGGTCCCTCACCGGGTAAGTTTCGTTTGAGCGCACACGGTGGAATAGAAACTAACACCTGCCAGTCTCCCTTCTCGAAGGAGTGCCCTCAGCGCCCCTTCGAGTGCTTGATCAGCACCCTTACCAAGTTCCCGTGGCATATGAAGACGCACATCACCATTATGCAGCGCCACGCCATGCACAAGGCGACATGCGACCTGGTTCGCATTTTGGTCAACAGCATCCGTGACCGTCGTGACGAGCTCAATCTCACGCAGCGTCTTCTGAAGCGCGTGGTTGCTGCGGCGATGCGCTGCGAGGGCTTCTCAGCTACCCAGAAGGACGACATTGCCTACCTGGTCGACATGGGCGAGATGGAGCAGCGCTCCTTCGGCCAGCCGCGCTTTGCCGAGAGCTGGCGTCACCTCTACGTTCTTGTGCCCAAGACCGGTGTTCCCCTGGATGTGATTGAGGTAAGTCCCGTTCGTGGGGTAAGATTGGGTGAAACCGAAGGAGCTTGGGCTAACCAGTTGTTTTCAGTGGTACATTGCCGTGATTCGCGAGGAGACCAACCGTTTCCTCGAGACGCAGGCTTTCCAGGAGAAGTGCCAGACCCGCGCCATCGGCGACACCACAGACCTCTACTTTGGCTACTTCTGGCGTGAGCTGAACCACCCCGTCGGCCCGGCTTTCGACAGCATGACTCTCTCGCAGCTTGCCATGCACGAGTATCAGACCATGGAGTCCATCATTCGTCGCGCGCTGGCCCCTACCGACGCCACTCATATGCGTCTTGCTCTCCCCGGCGCTGTCCACTGAACGACTAACAAAAACCGACCCTGACATGGCTTTCTCAGTAGAAGATACACACCGTTGCATTTTCTGCTCTAGCATTTTGCTTGGGAATTGGGATTGGCATTCTTGACTTTTGCGTTTGGACTCTCTCATAGACATCTTGGGTCGGTATTTGGGCAGGAAATCGCATCCATTCAGGTTGTTTCTTGGTCTCTTCTTTCTTTACGAGTCATAATAGGAATGGAGGACTCACCGATAAAGGATACAAGCTGGCATCGGATTGTCTTAGACCGGCGACTCTGGGGACAACGGGCGTCTTCTGGATTTCTTTCACAGGCAGGAATTCGGTTTAGAGATGCGCTTTCAGGTAGATTTGGGGGTTCGAGAAGGAAGATCTCCATGGCCAGTCAGGGAGAATACGACTAGTTTACTACACCGATTGTCTCCGTTTCCCCTCGTGTTCTTTGTTGTAGAAGAATATGGTACCGTAGATCGCGTGGACTAGTTTGGCGTCACGACGGCGCCGTTCGTAGTCTGTTTTGGCTTGGCTGGAATCAGCGTCCCTTGGTGGACGGAAGTTGGAGTTGGCGAGTGGAGTGCCGCGAACGCGTTGGTGGCACGTCTGGCGGCCCAGTTAAACGCGGCAACGGGTGACCGGGGTGGGGGGCATCACTGCAGGTACGAGCGGCAATGCCCGGCAGGTGCATTTGAGGGACGATAGGGCCGTCCTCAGCGGGAATTGGTTAGATTCCCTTAACAGGGCGCTACGCCGGCCCGCCGCGGTGGTTTTTTCTCGTCGTTTGGCTTTAAACGGGAAGAAGGCACGGGCCAACGCGGGGCTCGTCTGTGGTCTGGGACCACTCAGATGTCTTGGACGACGATGGACCGTCACAGGGAAGCGGGAGCCCCTGAAATATTCCATTAAAGGCTGGCCGTTATCTGCAGGTTCGCGAAGGAATTCGAGTGGACGGATGGGTTCCGGCATGGCTCATTACGGAGGGCGGGGCGGGACGGGTAATTGGCAAATGGGTGTTGGGAAGTTGGTAAATAGGGCAGGGCGAGTTTGATGAGTTCCATTGGGAGTAAGAAGAGGTGGTGGATTTCTCCGATGTTCGGTCGTGATCGGTATCTCATATCGAAGTCAATATCATGAGCATCCCGTCGTCCCGCTGGGATGAGATTAGTGCCCGCAGAGGTTGTGCCGAAGAATGAACACGGACGCTGGGGTTGCATCCAGAACTGACTAGGCGCCCAGCCCAGCAACTTGCTATTTGGCTGGAGTTGTATCGTACGTAGGGATGGCTGGTCGAGATATCAGCATTCTCTAGACAACAACAAGTATTGTGATGATGTTGTTGCTTGTTGATGAACTGCCAGCCTCCGAGTTGGAAGAAGCAAGTCGTCTAACAAGGAGGCAGATGTCAGGACTAGAGACCCCATCCAAGCACCGTCGAAACACAAGGCGCGAATCACTTTCAAAAAAGGGGGTCCATCTCCACTCCACTCTCCCGAGACGCACAGGCCAGGTAAGAAAGAGCTTGGGATTGGACGGTTGATGGAGCTCTGATTGGATTAAAGGTGGGTTGGCACCGTCCAGTTCCCCGGAAGGGAACGCACGGAGCACTCGATGTCGTGAAGCATCAGCCAGGCCGTTGAAGGTGCCAACTTGAGGCAAGTGCAGACAGAATGCCAGGAGCGATGTCTGGCCTGATCTATTTTTCGGAGGGGGTTCGCTGCGGGCTGATGTATAAGGTATGGTGTGTTGATGTTGCTATTGTGGTTGCTGTAGCTGTATCTAGCTCTTACCGTTGCTGGTGTCATCTGTTGCTGTCACTTTCCGCCGTCTTCTTAATGTTCAAGGGGGTACATTATCCCATACGTATTCCGTACCTGCCTTGCTTGATTTAAAATAAAAATATTATTACCCAACAGCCGTTGAAAAAAAAGGTCACCCCAACGCACACTCAGCACACGGGCACCTCAGGCAGCTTAACACTAGGGTGGGCTGGAAACTTTTTTTTTCCTAATTCCTCTTTCACACAATACCTTCACTTCTGGCCAGGAGCCATCACTCTCCCTAAAAACACCCACACACACATCACAGATCACATCTCAACGGATTCTTCTGTCATCATGTCTGCCCAAACCACCGACGCTCCCGCCACGGCGGCTCCGGCTGCTGCTCCCGCACAGGCTGCCGAGACTCCTGTTGCTGCTGCTGTCGCCGCCCCTGCTACTGATGCCGCTGTGGCTCCCGCTGCTCCCGCTGCCGCCCCTGAGACTCAGAAGGTCAACGAGGCCACTCCCGCTGCCCAGACCACTCCGGAGACGAAGTCGGAGGAGAAGGCGAAGACTGATGAGAAGCCCGCCGCTGCTACCGAGAAGCCCGCCGAGGAGAAGGCGAAGACTCCTCTGATTTCCCTTTTCGAGAAGCTTCCCGGTATCCTCGACGCCGCCAAGCACAAGGAGATGTGGGGTGTCCAGCTCACTGACAACACTCATGTTCCCACCACCGTTGTCCTTCAGAAGTTCCTGCGCGCCAACGACGGCGATGTCGTCAAGGCCGCTGACCAACTTCAGAAGGCTCTTGAGTGGCGCCGTGATACTAACCCCGGCAAGCTTCTCGACGACGTCGCCTTCGACAAGAAGAAGTTTGACGAGCTTGGCTATGTCACCACTCACAAGGACTCCGAGGGCAAGGAGACCATCATCACCTGGAACATCTACGGCGCCGTCAAGGACAAGCAGGCCACCTTTGGCAACGTTGATGAGTGAGCATAATCCTCCTTGCGTGAGATTTCATCTCATAGGGTGAACGTTAAAACTGACCTGGCTTATAGGTTCATCAAGTGGCGTGCTGCCCTTATGGAGCTCAGCGTCCGCAAGCTGAACCTGGACAAGGTCCAGACCCCCATTCCCGAGGGAGGCGAGGACCCCTACCAGATGATTCAGGTCCATGACTACCTCAACGTCAGCTTCTTGCGCATGGACCCTGCCGTCAAGAATGCCTCTTCGCAGACGATCAAGATCTTTGCCATGGCCTACCCTGAGCTTCTTAACCACAAGTACTTCGTCAACATCCCCGCCCTCATGGGCTGGGTCTTCAAGGCTATGAAGGTGTTCCTTGCTCCCAAGACGGTCTCCAAGTTCCACCCCCTCGGCTATGGGTCTGAGTTGGCCAACGAGATTCCTTCCCTCAAGCAGTCGCTCCCCAAGGAGTACGGTGGCAGCGGTGAGAACATCAAGACCACTGGCCAGACCGTCAAGCTCGCGGACGCCACCGCGGCCCCCACTGCTCCCGTTGCTGAGACCAAGACCGCGACTGAGGCTCCCGCTGCCGTCCCTGCTCCCGCGGCTGCTGAGACCAAGGCCGCTGAGGCTCCTGCTTCCGCCGCCGCTGCCCCTACGGCTACCTCCACTGAGGCGGCTCCTGTTGCCGCTCCCCAGCCGGAGAAGGCCGCCGAGGCCGAGAAGGCCGAGGCTCCCAAGGCGGAGGGCTCTGAGGTCCCCAACGTCGCCGACCTGAGCATCAAAGACGATGCCGAGGGCAAGGAGACCGCCGCTAAGGAGGAGGCCAAGCCTACCGCTGCCTAAGCGGCAGTATGCGCTGCCTCGACTTCCTTTCTTTGTGTTTACTTCCTTCGGCTTGACTTTGGAATCTTGTTGGTTGATTTGCGGGACAAGGAGACTTGGTGATTCTCGCAGAGGCCGAGATGGATACCGCCGTTAGACAAGACTGGATTCGCCTATTTTCGGCTCGGGGTTGGGTCTGTTTTTTCTCCTTGAGTTCATGCCATAATACCCTTCATGTGTGGTTTTCCGGTATTCGTTTCGTTTGGGAACAGAGGTTCATTCGATCAGACAGACTCTTTTAATAGGAACAATCAAACAGATTGATAGAGATAATGACATGGCCATTCGTTCTTAGTGATGTAAGCCACTCGACTGACTCAGGTTGGTTTTTTTCCTTGTCTCTCTTCGAAACATCGATGTTGAGGACATTGAGTTCTGTTAGGCCTTGCCTGGATTCGTGCTATCGAGGTAGGTGACAGTGTCGGTGGACGGACGAGGTGCGCACCCACCCTTGGGTGTTCCTTCGTTCGACCCGCCCAGGGGGCAGCACCTGAAATCCGACATCCGGACCGTTGCGTGTCATCACGACCACTACAACGCCGACATCTCCGTCCTTTTCCGTAATAGACAATTTGCGCTTGTCGGTGTTATGTTTGTCGTTTTGCTTGATCGGGTAAATATCCGTGCGGTATGGATGCACGTATTAGTTGAGAAAAAGGCTGATGGCATCATGACTGGTGTTTTCTCTCCCTTCGCAAGCTGTTTCGCAATTTTGACTCTAAATTCGCGATACTGGCGTGGCTTTCGCTTCATTCTCGGGATCGGCCACATCATGTGGCCAAATATGGTGAAAAGAAAGGAAACGTACTGCTTGAAGCACAGCATATGGGACCTGATTTCTCGCTTTTTATGTACTCTCCGTCGCTTGTAGCCAATTTATTTCTTCGTTTCAATTCTGCCCATGCCTTTGGTTGCGTCGATTGCCCATTACCGTCGAAGATGACCTGTGCAATGGACATCAACATCAACTATCGAATACACTCTTACAGCCAGACTACGAGTGCCACGCTCAGTTCCCGTCTAGTTATAATCCTTCGGTAAGACTTCGGTGCTGTGACTCACTTTTATGGACCGATGTGCAATTCTGCGCCGTTTTCTAGTTCTGGACAAGCTACTTCGCGATGTCGTGGGCTTTCACGGTATAGATTTCGAAGAGTGCCCAACGACATGATTGACTCGAAGCGCAAGACGTATCAATGAACCATGTACTGATAGCCCAATTTGATGGTTTCCCGTTGTCGTGATACTTGTTTGTGGTGGTGGGTTGGTGCTGTGCTGATTCATTCGATCATCCTCGACCTTGGTGTCAGGTAAGGTAGGTCTCACAGCATGCGCCCCTTCCAATAGTCGCTCATTGGAGTTCAATTAGGTGACCTGGACAATAAATGCCGTCGTCTTCATCATCTTCAGCCAAATGATGTTCGATTAGCTCAGTATTCGAGACTTGCTGTTTCGCCAGAAGAAGGATATTGGGGCCATCTACCACGACATTGCACCTCGCTTGTATTCGAGTGAACGGTCTCCGTAACGCATGACATCAATCAGAACAGGGGGCGAGGTCCGACAGCGTTCCGAGCCCTTCTGCCAGAGATATCGTACACTTCACATCGCAAGATATTCAAGAGTTGAACAAGCGCCATGTTGACGAGGCATTCTGGATTTCGCCGTCATGACGACTTGCGAGAGCCTGCGAGTGGCCAAGCTGAGGCAGACGATACATGCAGGAAGTCCGAGGTGTGGTGTTGTCCATCATGCCTCTATCGGGGCGAGGCTCAGCACAGGCAAGTGGCGCGCCGGCGACAGAGGCAGAAAGAAGGAGGTGGTCCGAGAAGATACAAACAGCGCAACCAGATAACACCTGGAAGTTGACAACGTCAACCCAGAGATCAACCACGACACCTCGAGTTATAGACGTCCGACCCAATAAATCGATCGCTGCAACTCGAAGCAATTCAACTATATCTAATATACAGAGTTCGGGTCAGCCGGGGAGGTAGTCGATTGAGGTGTAGTCAGCTGAGCGAAGGATCCAATGTTCAACCAGGATGTATATAAGTGGAGGAGGAGCAAAACGAGAGGTCGAGCAGGACAAGACGAGACAAATTGGGATAGGACAGAGAGAGGAGGGGAGACGACGCACACCCGCAACACAAACCGGGGTTTTTTGCTCTGTTTACCTTTTTGAAGGCCAGAACTGCGGCCAACATCCATCTTCGTTCACGTCGTCGGTGATTTCGAAGTCAATCTCGTTCTCAACCGCGTTTTCCATCCAGCACTCCACATCAACGTCTCAGTCGGCTTGGCTGACCTTGACGGAAGACCGGACAAGACAAGATTGGCCACCGAAAAGCTAGACAGTTGAACGAGACTGAACCGCGGCGTATCCGTCTGCACCTACCTTACCTCTACCTTATTCTGACACAGCACCAACCCAACACCAGGCACAAGCAGCACGCCAGCAAGCCCTCCCGCCCTTGGTGTGTCCCGCTCTCTTTTTTCTTTGAATAAAGGCAGCGTGGTCCGTTCTTCGCCTCAGCAATTCCCCTTCTCTCAAGCACCTTCGTGGGACGACTCTCGGGCAATATCGCCCTCATCCACTCGTCCGCGGCCTCAATTCTTCTTCGTCCACCGGACGTGCTCCTATCTTCCTGCTTTTGAGCTATTCTGTCGAGTCGTGCACCATCTCAAGGTCCTGACTCTCTCAGGTCCTCCAAGCAAACTGTGGAGGAGGAGTAGCAGAAACCACCTCAGACCAAAAGCAACGCAGGCAATCGACCGGAGAAACAAGCAGGCGAGCAATCACATCCGTCAATCAGGTCGCTCCATTCCTTTAATACCCGCGCATCCATCCATCCATCAAATCAATCAATCAAGTCGGTCGCGTCCCCACTCTCCGCAACACGACACCACACGGCACGGAACCTCCCTCAAGCCAACCAGCCATCCGCCAAACCTTTCACTCTCGTCGTGTCTTTCTTGACTCTCATCTCACCTCGCCTTTTCACTTCACTTCACCTCGTCTCGCCATTCTGCCGCGCAACCTTGTTGCTATTTTCTCATTTTTTGCCGCATCTCAACCACGCAACATACTACGCGTATCACTCGGCGAATATCGACGAGATTTAATCGTCAACGACACCAATACTGACGACGACGACGGACGTTAACCCCCACAACACACAGCAACTACAGTCTGCCGCCAGGCTTTTCTGTGTTTGCTGCGTTCATTTTTGGATTTTCACGAAATCCCTTGACAAACTTACCCCTTAACCGCGCTGCTGCTGTTATTGCACAGTCTTGGTGTCTCTTCTTCTTCAGCAGGACTTCCCAAGCGCAGTTCCGGAGGTTACCTTATTGCCACTCAATGCCCGGCGAGTAAGCTAAAGGGTAGCGAACGAGCCAACTCTGCACCTTTCACTCTGCACTTTGCGTGCCTGCCCGTTTCCGCACCCTTGTCCCAAATCCCTCCTTCTACTTTTCGTGTCTGGACCAGGACCTTTCCCACCCCCAACTTTCTTCCCACGCACACACCTCATTTTGGAACGCGTTGCAACTCGACTCGATCGACTTTTTGAGAACCTTGTCGACATTGTTATCGCTCAAAATCGCGTCGAGACTGGGTTTTTGGTCCCAATATGTCTCTTTTTCCTAGCGAAAGCGGCTTGTCCGCTACCGCGACTGATTGCTCCTCCAACATCGCGTCGTCGAGCTCCACGCCCCCTACCAGCATTTCAGACATTGCCAGCCAGGCCTCGGACGGCCCCAAACTAGACGATGTGCCCGTCCTCCTCGAGACCGAAACTCATATCGAAGCACAAATTGAGGCTCATATCGAAATTGCTGCCGAGCCTGCCACTATTACTACACACGCTACCATAACCGCCGAGTCAACCCCCGAGACGATCGCAGAACCCCAGCAACCCCAAGAGTCTCAAGACTCCCAACAACCTGAGCCTGAAGCCCAAGAACCCCAGTCGGCACCTCGCCCACGTCGTTCCTGCTCCGGCAAGGGAACATACAACCTGTCTGAGCTGAGCGGCACCGCCAACCGCGGAAAGCGACGCGCCAAGGGCGACGATGTGGCCAGCAGCCGCCGCAGGACGATCTCTGGCGATACTCTTGTAAATGGCGACAGTGATGCCGTTGCCGGCATTGCTGGCAACCTAGTCCGCGACGGAATTGACGCGTTGGACCTCCAATGGTCCGTTGGCGATCTCAAGACCCCGCGTGCGAAGAAGGCCAAGACAGAAAAGCCAGAGACGAAACGCCTCACCCGTCATACCTCGCGACTTTTCAACACTCCTGTGGAATCGCTTGCGACCAAGGTTTCCAGCCTCGGCAAGCGAAGCCGCAAGACCTTCGAGCAGAAAGTTACCAAGATGTCTCGTGAGCTGCGCCGACTTCAGGACACAAACGAATTCGCTGGCGTGGAGGAGAAGCCTGTCATCAGGACAGTTTGGTCTAACGGAAAGCTTGTAATTGTGGACCAAAATGGCGACCCGATCCAGCCCAAGAAGAAAGCCAGATCCGAAGAGCCCAAGAAGGAAGAAGCGGCAGAGGAGAAGCCTGCGGAAGCTGCTCCAGCCAAAAAGACGAAGCGCACCAAGAAGTACCTCGATCGCGGACTGTACGCTGGCCAGAGTGCTCCCTCAGATCTTACCAAGGGTCTTTCGAATGCCGAGCAAAAGAAGCTCGCCCAGATTCCCGAATTGCAAGATTACGGCCGCCCCAACAAGGCGCTTCCGCTGCCCATGTTTAGCGGTTTGCGCCTACTTCTGGCCGGACGCGATTTCAAGCTGCCGTACGATGTCTGTAACCCTCTGCCGCCCGGACAGCCCAAGCCCGACGAGTTCCGGAAGATGACGAAGAGTAAGTCAATTCATCACATTATCGTTTTCCGCGCTGACATGTGACAGACCGGTTCATTGGCGACTCGATCATCTACTGGAAGAAGACACCGCACTTCGTGGATCAGTCCAAGTGCGTTTGCAAGCCCGAGGACGGCTGCGGCGAAAGCTGCCAAAACCGAATCATGCTATACGAGTGTGACGACAAGAATTGCAATGTCGGCCGGGAGCACTGCACGAACCGCGCCTTTGCCGATCTTCAAGAGAGAAAGGCGGGCGGTGGCAAGTACAGAGTTGGCGTCGAGGTCATCAAGACTGCAGACCGTGGCTACGGAATCCGCGCGAACCGCTGCTTCGAGGCGAACCAGATCATCATGGAATACACGGGCGAGATCATTACTGACGAGGAGTGCACACATCGCATGGAGACAAAGTACAAGGACAACAAGGTATGTCGATGCGCCGTCACGTGCTCCAACGCCAAAGCTAATTATGCGTAGTGCTACTACCTCATGAGCTTCGACCAAAACATGATCATTGATGCGACGACCGGTAGTATCGCTCGCTTCGTCAACCACTCATGTGCACCCAACTGCCGGATGATCAAATGGATCGTTTCTGGCCAGCCTAGGATGGCGCTTTTTGCGGGAGACCGGCCCATCATGACGGGAGACGAGCTTACCTACGACTACAACTTCAGCCCTTTCAGTGACGATAACGTGCAGACGTGTCTCTGCGGCGCACCGAACTGTCGCGGTATTTTGGGCCCTAAGCCTCAGGAAGTCAAGCAGCCCAAGCCGCCCAAGTCGACACTCAAGGCCGTAGTGAAGGGCGCTGTGAAGGCCAGCAAGCGCAAGCTCGAGGCGTTAGTTGGCGATGACAATGAGGCTGGTGGTGCTGCGAAGAAGCGCAAGATCAAGGCTGCTAAGGGAACTAGGCACTCCCTCTCGGCGACGACGAGCCTGAAGACTGTCAGCAAGGCCGCGACCAAGGGAGCGGCCACGGTTAAGAGACGTGTGTCGGCCATGGCAATCCTAAGCGGCAACGCGAAGACGACCCCGGCGAAGGGAACTCCCGCGAAATTGGCAGTCAAGAAGGCCATACCAAAGAAGTCGACTCCCAAGAAGTACACGGCTCCGAGTGCGGCGCGCAAAGCGACAACGGTTCGTAAATCGGGCACTGGCAAGATGCTGAAGACGTACGGAAAGGGGTCGCCTAAGAAGGTCTCCAGCCGCGCACCCAGCATGACGATCGTGGCCGCCGGTACTGGCGATGACGACTCTTCCCCTATGACCTCGCCCGACACAGTCGCCACCAAGCTGCACAGAAGCCTGAGCAAGGCCTCTCGCAATGCGCTGGAGGAACTCTCGCGGGAGTCTACCATCAGGCTCGTGAGCCCCGAGCTCGTCAGCCCCGCGGCAACCATCACGGCTCGTCACGATTAGAGGGGGGCCGCGTGGTGATGGACGAAGTGTTCTACGAGGGGACGAGCACAGCTTAATCATTTAATCGAGAGTCTTGACGTCGACAAACGAGGGCGGATTGGATTTGTTTGGCGTTCGCAGGTGTTTTCGGTCTCTCAACAGGCGAAACGGGACGGACTTGTATATTATTTGGATGGACGGGCTTGGGTCCGACGACGAAGAAAGGCTGATGATGGGGGACGGCAGGCGGATGCAGGCGAAGGTGTCATCGCAGGCGTCGCGCGTTGGGGCCAGGCATTTTCTCTATCTCGCTGCATACGTACTGGGCCCCTTTGCCAGTGCCGGGGCTTGCTTTCTTTGCTACTATTTTCATTTTCCTGCGGCGGCAGCAGAGGCAGCAGTTCCGGGCATATTTCAACTGCATCATTTCCCGATCGGCAGAAGGGTCCTGTCATGGTCATCGCCGTCGCTCTGAATACACAAAGCACATGTTTAATGACGAGATGAAATGCGTTGAATGTGAGAGTCATCCGGCCGGGTTGTGTTTGCTGGCCGTCCCGCATCGTCATTGTTCACCGAGCCGGAAATGACGATGAGGCGGGATTAGGTGTGATTTTTCTGCCTTGCTGGTGCTGGGTGAGGCTTCAATTGGTTGGGTAAGCCGTAGCTGACAGCCACTCAACTGACCGAGAATTGCAAGAGGTACTTTTATCGGTCAGGCACACACCGCGCGCGATAGTTGTGATGCTGAGGTGAGAGAAGCCGACCTTGCTCGCCTGCTGTTTTATTTTTTCAGTTTGGGTTTTTGAATCGAGGCCATTTGTTTCTGTGCTGGTCTGCGGCTTGTGGTGGCTGAGTATCCCTCCTTTTTGAAAGGGTGTGCTCGTCAGGTGAGACGGCGATGCTGCGGGTTGGATCTGGGTTAAGGTACCGTACCTCACCTCGCTCGCCTCGTCGCGCTGCGATGGCATCCAGAGAGCACGTGTGTGTTCTGGGCAGTTGGAGCTTCTGTGTTTTGTGTTGTCTTTGTTGGTTTGATGGAAGTGTATGATTACATGAGAATGAGGCTCGGGGTTGCCTCTAGTTGTCTGTCTGCCTTGTTGACCTAGCTTTTTAAGTGCTGATTGAGTGAGTCTAGGGCCTCTAGGTGCGTGCTTATTACCCAGGTGCTTTTGGTTTGCCGTTGGAGCAAGCTTCCAATCGCTAGGTGTGTCGTTGATTGGTGGTGTTGTTGACTTGAATACCTTAATCCATGCTCGCGTGGGATAATTGGTTGGTTGGCACGCGACAGTAGTCGATTAGGGGGCCAGTCACGACTGTTGGTTTGTCTCTCGGTGTCTGGAGGTCGGAGCTTTTTCAGTATCGTCGGGCGACGGCGGGGTGGAGCTCTGCATGGATATGTGTCGGTCAGGAAGGTTGAAGTAAGGTCAGATAGCGCGGTGTAAATAGAGAAAGCCGTTGAAGCAGGGTGTTTTGTTGGTGGTTGATGATGAAGGTAAAAATACCTAAACCACACCGAAGCACTCGGTCGGACACTCGGGTAAGGGTACCTTACGATAAGTACCATGTGGGGAGCTAGCTCCTCAAAGGTGGGGGAACATTGACTAATCAGCGACGGGGCCTGGCTGGCCGTGGTCGATCGTGCGGCTCAACTAGCTACCTTACGTAAGGTACCTCCAAAGAGCCCCCTCCATTCGGGGTTTCTTGCACCTCCCCCAAACATCAACTCATGTCGCTTCTCTCTCACTGCTTACACAACTGTCAACCTCAACACCCGCCCACAGACAAACATATGATCCAAATGAGGACTCATATGGAATTACTACGTCATTTTCCAATTTACTACCCATCTGCGCATTTTCCGGTGGGGCATTTGCGCGAGCGCGCAACAGCTCTGGCACGAAGTGGGGTCCTCTAGTTCCCGTCCCGCGCGCGCGTTCTGGCCGAACAACTTCAATTCCAAGTTCCAGTCTGCTGCGCATCACGCCCAGCCGAATGAGCCACAGTTTGTTCACGATTTCGAGTCACCGAAGCCTCAGGTTCTCAAAAAAACACAAATGCCATTTCCGTTTTGTCCGTCTCGTGCCTGCCTGAGCGGGTCTATCCTATCCAGTCTAAACTATCCCAAAAATCAAAAGCCAATCGCGAGTGAAGGGTATGGGGTCGTCATGAATTCCGTTCCTTTTTCCCCCCGGTGGCTGAGCTTTGTCCTGTTTGCTTCCCTAGCTCTGTTGCTGTACCTTGTTTCCTTTGCCTGCCTTGTTGCCATTCGTCGTTTCCATGCCATCTCACGTGGGTTCGCGTCCTGCGCGTTCCCGGTTGCAAACTGGGAGCAGAAGGCGATGGGCTGAATCCACGATTCGGACCTCAGACAATCGATGCTCCCCTTGTCGGCTCGGTGTCCCGGCTCGCCGGCTTTCCAGGGGCTGGCTGCGCCGCCGCCGCCGCCCCCTATCGCAGCCGGGCCGAATCTTGTCGTGTTCCTTCGATGAGGCGTCGTAGTTGAGCGCTCAGCGGTCCTGGGACACGATATGTGTCACGCTGCAGCTGCCACAGCGCATGTGGTTGCAGTGGGTGCAGTAGTCGATGAGTTTGTAGTTGTGAGGGCCATTGGCGCAGTTGCTCTGTGAGCCAAGTTAGTAAGATGGCACGGAATGGTGATCCAGGTTAGGTGATGCGTACGCAGTACCACACTTTGATGCTGATGGTCTTGGTTTTCCCCATGTTGAAGATGTTTGAAAGAGGTTCTCTGGAGAGATGAAGTGTTATCTCGACTTGATGTCTATGTTCTCTGAGTGTTTGAGTGCTTGATGTCCGATGCAATGAAAAGCGGAATGAAGACTGCGAGGTCGATGGTGTTATATCTTTCTCCAGAAGTCTGAGAAGCCCAGCGGACGAGGTAGCTCTTGCGCCATCCCCGACCTCGAGACAAGAACGCCTGGGAACAGGCGCAGCGGATATCCCACGACAATTGCAAGTTTGCGCGCATGTTCGGTGAGCAATTCGTCGTCTTGCGAGTTTGCGATTTTGCCAGAATCACATTGCCAAAACAGGGCTTTGTGAGGGCATTTGACAAAAGTGGTGAGGCAGTGTTGTTAGTTGGACTCCACTCCGTCCAGTCCTCACCGAGCACGAGACGCTTCTGCTCCTCATCTTGCGCGCAAACGCGCTGGACAATTTCAATGATCCTCTGGTTTTTCTTTTCTTTTTTGCAATTTTGCCTCGCTGGGTTGACACCGCCATGTCATTTCGTCAAGATTTCCATTGTATCCCGGTACGTCATCAGGTCAAGTACGATATTGAGGCCAATTGTCTGCTACGTACATCCTTTCGACGAGGCCGAACGGGAGGCAATGCTTGAGGATTTGGATTTGGTCTTCACAGTGTGTTCTTCTGACAAGGCGAGATGGAAGGCAATGCTTTACTGAGCCACGATGTCGTCACAAGCCATTGAAATTGTAACTGGTTGTTTTTGATGTTGTTTATTGTGTACGCTCTCTCGAAAAGCACCTGTCTATGCTCTATCATGTTCTATCTAATTCCGAACCACTCAAGGAAAGTTGAAGCGCGTGGCGTGAAGAGAAGGAAAGCTTGAGAAAGAGGGAAATCGCTCTGTTCTAAGGGGGGTATCTATCATACAACCGTGTCTAACCAGTCCTGTTGTTCTTATCGTGTATCTAAGCGTCCTTGCGTGTTTTCATCCCCTGCGAACTGTCCGGTGGCGGATAGCTAGCTCTTGATGTAATGCCGACGCGTGGTGTTTGCGTATCCACCTACGCGCCGTTACAGTATTGGCGTAATGGCTTCTTTGCCGAGATCGAGAGGCGGTACTGTCTCGATCACGAGCCGAGGCTTGTCTTCTTTGTGATTTCCGGTCCGCTGTGCGAGAATGGAAGGAGGCGGGACCGGAAACCGGGCGTGGGGAGTACCTCTGCCGTACAGATCTTGGCTCTCTCGCTCGGAGATCGGCAGAGGGTTTGTTTGGCGGAAAGGGGATGCCCTCTCTAGCGGCCAGCGGGCGTGGCGATCTGCGTCGTGCTGCAGCTGTTGCACCTCCAGTGCTGGCAGTAAGGACAAGCCGCGTCCGTGGAGATGTTCAGAGGGCCGGTGCTGCAGTTGCTGCAGTACCAGACCCAGATGTAGGTCATGGTGGGCTTGGAAGGCATGATTGCGAGATTGCTTTGTGCTTTGGGGCAGTGGAGAGTTTGAACCGATGAAGGTAAGGAGGGATGCTTCTTTGTGTTAAACTGTTGAAGGCAGTGGTTGTTCTTGATGGTGAGAATGTAGAGTCCGATGAGTATGCTGTCTTGGACGAGATGGAAGCGTTTCTTATAAGCAAAATTGAAGACGACCACGAGAACGCCTGAACCAGCAAGACGACATGTTGCTCAACCTCGAAAGCGCGCAAGAGAGACCACGAAAACGCCCCGTTGCGCGCTTTCGGTGGACAAAAACCTTCCCAATTCGCAATTCCATCGTGAAGGGGCTTGTGGAGTGTGAGGAACATTGTCTAGACGTGGCGGAGCGGTCTCCGGTATCCAGTCACCGACGTAGTTTGGTTTCTGCGCAAGTGCGCTTGAGTGGTGAAGAATTACACAACTCCCACTTCCAAACATTTCCAGACTTGAACAATGCCCCTCTGTTGACATCATTGTCTTGTTTCGTTGTGGTACTGTCTTCGTGATGAGGGCCAATTTTAGGAGGTGGTGCTTTTGATGTTTTTTTCGGCATTTTGGTGTAGGCAAGGCGGGGGGCAGTGCCGTGCGAGCCCCGGCGTCAGCTTCGGGGGCAGCCCCATATTCCGTACTTGTCACGGCGCCGAGGGGCCCTTCTGCCGTCGGTAGGAACTTTTACGCAAGGGTCTTTTTTGTGCCATTTTGTTTTGTTTTGTTCCGGGTGCCTGGCAGCCGTTTCTCATGGTGCATGCAGATACCGATACCATGGCTCCACACCCATGCACCATCACCTACACACTCACCCATCCCATGTTGCACTGTCTAAAAAGAACCTCACATCTGGCC